CAGAGCACAGTCAGCAAAATAGAAAGGCGCATAGAGCAAAGTGTGGGGGAAGTCAGCGCAGCTTCCAGAGTCCCCTCCCTGTCAGGTCACACAGGATGCGCAAGGTGTGACCACACATGGGAAACATTGTTGTCCAGGGATGCTTGTAAGAGACCCAACACCCAGGGTTTTTACTGGAGACTGGTCTCTGGAACGTACCAACATTCCAGACTCCCAGAAGGAAAGCAGGTGTTCAGCATAACAGTTTGGGCACAGGGGGCTCTTCTTACTTGTTAAAGAATGCTGGAACCCTCCTGAAATTCAGGTTCACAGATCGCAGCCAAGGGCTGGCCTTGCAATTAGGCCTTTCCAAGGAGAGCAGTCCCAGGTCTCTGGGTTTATTAACTCTTTTTGCATCACTAGATATTAATAGGGGGAGAAAGAGGGAGAAAAAAGGAACCTGTTTGAAAATAGGAGCATGTCTTGAAAGCCAAGACTTTACTGGGAAGTTTGAGGACTATGACTCTCACTTTCCCTGTAGATTATAACATCGCTCATTTTGTCCTTCTACAGCTGAGCCTGTCTCCGCCTGCAAATCAAGTTCCCAGAAACAAGGATTCTCGCTTAAACTAGTGAGTGGCCCTGGGTGGAGGGAAGCACTAAGGGGAGGGCCTGGGGCTTTGGCAAAAGCATCATCCACCTCCAGGCCCCTCTGTGGGCTAGGACAGGTGGAAGAGCACGGCCTGGGCCTGCAAGGAGCAGTGGGACCTTTGGCGGGGCATGCCTCCCTCTGGGCCTTCATCACACAGGGCCCCTCAGAAGCTGCAGGTAGGTCCACCCTGAGCCCTGGCTCTGAGGCTTCCTGGATGTGTGATCTGGGCAAGTGCCTCCCCTCTCAGGGCTGACGTTCCTCATCTGTGAGGTGGAGCCGATAATACCCACGTCGGGTGGCCCACTTACCCACTACCTGCCTAACTCATAGCATGTATTTATTGAGCACCTACTATAATATATCACTGCTAGGTGATGGGGTTTCACAGAGAACCAGTCAGACAGGATTCCTATGCTGAGGAGTCAGTGAAATTGAGTCCAACTTTAGAATACAGAAACATGCACTTGAGGCAGGGGTAAAGGAATAAAGGAAACTGAGAAAGTGAGAGCAGCCAGGCAGGTGAGTTGTGTCCTTCAACACAGAGGAAGTGCCTAGTTAAAGGGTATCGTCATGGTTGGAAGACTCACCGTCATCCCTGAGTGCTGGAATTATGAGCCTCCCTTGGCCCTAGATAGAGGCTGTGTGAGTGGTTCAGAGCCAGGACTCCAGAGCCAGTCTCACAGATGAGTAATAGCACCTGCTTGTTGAGAGCCTGCTCTGTAACCGACCCTGGGCTGAGAGTTTCACTAGCAAGCCTGTGGGGTAGTTTTGTTCCCTGTTTAAGATGAGGAAATAGGGTCTCATCACTTACCCAGGGCCACCCAGCATGTAAGTTGCTTTGTTCACTGCTATATCTCTAATGCCCATAATAATACTTGGCACAAAATAAGTGCTTTGTAGAAAGAATGAATGGCATAGCTGGGATTTGAATCTACTTCTCTTTGACCCTGTGCTCTTAACCCAGCTATACTAGTTGTGTTTAATTAAAATATTTGGCTTTACTGCTAGAAAAAAATGACCAGTATTAACAATGGCCTAAGCAAAAATAATATTTTATTGCCTTTCACTTGAAAGTTTGGGGCAGTGGTCCAGGGCTGATATGATGGTTTCATTACCAAAGGGCCCCCTTCCTTCTCTCTTATTGTGCCAAAATCCTGAGATGGGTGCTCCAGCTCCCACCATCACATCTGCATTCCAGTTAATAGGAACAGGAAAAAAGGAAGAGGAGAGCTTGCCCCAGCCCTTTTAAGGACATAGCCTGGAAGTTGCCCACATCTCTTCTGCTCACATCCCCATTGGCCAGAACTTTGTCATGTGATCTCCCTCACTGCAAAGGAGAATGAGAAATGTAGGTTTTAGCTGAAGGCCACATGTCTAGGGAAAACTTGTGGATCCTATCACAAAAAAAAAAAACAAAAGGAACCTGGGCAATGAGGGATAACTCAAAATCTCTGATATGTGTTCACGTGCAGCATCCTAGGGAATTTGATGTGCAGGACCTGATGGGGACCCTGGGCTGTGGCTGGCATTACCCATGGCCACTGACCTGGGAGCCCTAGTCTAAGAGATTCCAGTGTGACAGACTTCTCTCCCTCCATCCCCCACTAGGATGCCAAGGATGGGCGCTTGTTCAATGAGCAGAACTTCTTCCAGCGGGCTGCCAAACCTTCGCAAGGTATCTGCAGGGAAGTGGGTAAGGGGGAGAGACGTGGGGATACCAGCTTGGTCAAAACAACTAGCTTCTCCCTGAAGGTGTGGGAAGGGTGGGGATTAAATTAAAGGCCCAGATTTGCTCATGTCACTCCTTGAGCCTCAAAGGACAGATGACATGGGCTGAGGCCAGCTCTTACCAGCTGTTGAGAGCCAAGTATTAAATTTTCAGAAATACCGCAAGTCAGTTGTTAAATGTAGCCATTATTAAAATTAACTATATTCACTTACTGTCAAATTATATTGAGAATGTGGGTGATAAGTATTCAAAACATCACTTCCTATTTATTTGTCTGCATTTCTTTTATCTATACTCTTGAAGCTGTTTATATCCATTGTATCTGGATGGTGCAAATAGTACACAATGGCGTGCTGCTGCACATCTCTTCTTAACTCTGCATTCCGTGACATATCGGTAGCTTGAACTTGGCCATGGTGGGAAGTATTCACACCACAGAATTTTGCAAACACTACACATCAGCGCTCTTTTCCCCTAGACAGCCAGTTGTTAAACCTTAATCAGCACACCATTAGATCTGTACCATCCAACTGAGATCCTGGAAGATGGGTGGACATCAAGTGACCAGTTTAGACATTTCCTGATCCTATTAGCTATATGTGTGAGTACAGACGTTATTCTGCCATTCTTATGCCTTCCACTCACTCTAGATTTCTATATTCTTTCTCCCATATTCACCCCTCGTCACTTGCAGACATAGATTAGATATTCAGGGGTAAACCAGGCCCACCTTGTCACCACCCTCATTGTCACCCATCCACAGAAGGGGCGTCTCTGACCAGGAGACTCATGGTCTGGTCTGGGCTCAGGCACACTCTGCTTTTGGTCTGAGAACAAGCTGTTGTCCCCGTGGGCCTGGGACCAGGTGGGCTCTAACCTCTCAGGCCCCTGCCTCCCACAGTAAACAAATGGAAGAAGCTGCACTCCACCCCCCTACTGGCCATCCCCACCTGTGTTGGTTTTGGTGTTCACCAGGACACGTATAGGTAAGTCTCTCTTGCCTTCCACCTCGCTGGTCCTTTTTTTTTCTCTCCCTGTCATGTGCCTGGGCATTGCTGGGACCCTGGAGCCACTGGCCAGTTAGTTGCATCCTCCTTTCCGTTGCTTTGATTCAGGTTGATTCCCCACCAATCAGAACCCTTAATCTTGCTCAGGACCAGGAGCTCGTAGCCATCCAGCCACAGTCCATCTTTGGTGGCCTGTATTCTGCCCCCTCCCATAGCCATCTCTCCCACCTCCTGGGGTGCTCGTGTCTTCCAGGTTCTTGGTTCTCCCCATGCTGGGCAGGACCCTTCAGTCAGCCCTGGATGACAATCCGAAGCATAAAATGTCCATGCAGTCCGTGTTCCAGATGGCCTGCCGGCTGGTATGTTACCTGGGCATTACCTGCCCCTCTCCAGGGAATGGCACACCGGGTTGGGGCTTATCAGTCTGTTTGTTCATTGACACACTCAGCCCACGCCCCCCTCTGCTGGACAGTGGGGGCTGGCACACTGACTGACACAGGTGAACCCAGTAGAGCCAAAGCAATAAACATGACCATGAGGGGTGTTCAGGAAGCCATGGAAGTTGCAGGAAGGAGCCCCAGCCTCAAATTGAGGGGTAGGAAATAGCAAGGTGCTGAGTGGAGTAAGGGTGGGGATATGTGGGGGAAATACTCCAGGCCAAGGATACAGCTTGGGCAAAGGCTTATATGGAGGAGAGAGCATAAGGCATTGGTTCCTTCATTCATTCCTTCATCCATCCTTTCAGTAATATTTATTAGGTCCCTGCTGGGTGTCAGACCCTGTCCCAGGGGCTGGGAGCACAGTGGGGAGCAGCATGGACATGGTTTTGATGCCTAATGGGAGACGATGGCACTAAACAGTTACACAAATTGTGAAAACTGCTTTGAATGGAAATATCCCCTGATATGATAGAGAATAAGAGGACCCAATTTAAATTGCAGAAGTGATGAAAGTGACAAAGGACTGACATATTAGTTGAATCCCAAAGGTCTTTATGCTCAGAGTGTCTACAGTGTGACATATGAAAGAGGAAAGGGTAAGAGATGAGGTTGGTGTAGAGGTCAGCAGTGACCAGGTCACACAGAGTCTTGAACACCAAGCTGAGGAGCCGGGACTGTATCCTGAGGGCACTGGGGAGCCATGGGGAGATTGGGAGCAGGGGAGGCACAAGGTCAGCTCTAGGTGCAGAAGGACCATGTGGGGTGGGTCTGGAGGGGGTGAGATGGAGGTCAGGTGAGGTCAGCATGAGAGAGGACAAGGCCTGAGAAGGGGCCAGGCTGTGGGACAGAGAGTTTCTAGGACAAGGAGAACTTGGTGGACAGTTAAGCTTTGGGTTCAAGGGGGACTTCGAGATGTCATCAGGATTTAACTAATTCCTGGGCAGTTCAATATATGAGCTTGGAGCTCAGTGGAAAAGTCAGAGCTAGAGATAATACAAATGGCTTAACTAAATTTATTTCTGCTCGCTAGGAGAAATAACAAGAATTCTTTGATGTACATGGATGTTGGGTTTTTTGTTTTTTCCCCAGGAGGTAGTAAGTACCCAACTTGTTCCCCTCCTGAGTTTGCAATCAAGAAATAGTTATGAGCGAGACAGAAAACAAACTATTAGCTTTAATGCTGATTTTTTTAAAGCTAATTAGAAGACATGCTTAGGGCTTCCTAATGTTTCACCCAGAATTAGTCAGGTTTAAACCTCTTCATCCATCCCCCTCCCTCAGTCACAAGCAGGGAAACCATGGGGCCCCAGGCCTAACAGTGGGGATTCATTCACCAGGCTTTGCATCAGTGCCTCTTTGTGTTAGGCATGCTACTCATGGAGATGCTTTATGTCTTCCCCCAGCTGGATGCCCTGGAGTTTCTTCATGAGAATGAGTATGTTCATGGAAATGTGACAGCTGAGAATATCTTTGTGAATCCAGGGGATCTGAGCCAGGTAATAGTTGGGTCCTCCCCACCCTGGGGGTTTTCTGGACTCAGGACCTCATCTGTCTCAAAACTTCCATTTATTTTACAATGCCCATTACAGACAAAGAATTGCTATCCATCATATATAAAGAGCTCCTTTGAATAAATAAGAAGAGATAAGCAACTTAGTAGAAAAATGGACAAAGGATAGGAAAAGCAGTTCATAGAAAAAGAAATCCACAGGTTAGTTAAATACATGAAAAGATGATCAGCCTCCCTAATAATCACAGAAATGAAAATTAAAACATACTATTTTTCACCCTATGGATGGACAAAATTAAAAAGAATGATATATATATATATTGGTGATAAGGATGTAAGGAAATAGGAATTCTTTATATTCTGTTGGAAGTGTGAATTGGGCAGCCTTTTTGGAAGGTAACTTGGATATAGCAGTCAAATTTTAAATGCATGTTTTTTTGATCCACCAGTTTCTTAGGAATATATCTTATCCTTATATTCATAGGACTGTTCAAAGATATATGTACAAAATGTTCCTGACAACACTGATTGTAATAATAAATTGGGAAGACCTTAAATATATATTCCCAGTATGGTACTGATTAAATAGTGTTTTAAAGTAATTTTTAATTACTCTTTCAGTAGCAAATGACAGAAATCCAATTTAACATGGCTTAAGCCAAAAAAACAGTTTAAAAAAGGGAGGGATTCAGTTTATTGGTCTGTGGAGTAGAAAAAACTTACTGACTTTAGACATGGCTGAATCTAGGAACTCCTTGTCAATGGGAAACTGGCTCTTCCATCTCTGGGCTCTTGTTTGTACATTGCTCATTGTCAGGCAGACTCTCTTCCCTCATGGTGACAAAATCACCACCGGGAAATCAAGCTTAAATTTCCTCAGCAAACCCAGTGGAAATAGATCAGGTGAGCCCCACTTCAGTCATGTGGACTGAGAGTTGGAAAGGGATGATCGCAGAGAAAACTCCTAGAACTGTATTAGAGATCTCCAGAAAAACAGAACCAACAGAATGTGTGAGTGTGTGTGTGTGTGTGTGTACAGAAAAAGATTTATTATAAGGAATTGGAAACAGAGAGTCTCAGGATCTGCAGTTGGCAAGCTGGAGACCCGGAAAAGCTGATGGTGTAATTCTCTAGTCAGAATCCTGAAAACCAGGAAAGTTAACTGTGAGTTCCAGTCTGAAAGCCGGCAGGCTCAAGACCCAGTAAGAGCCATTGTTTTAGTTCAAGTCCAGGGCAGGAAAAGACCAATGTTCCAGCTCTTGCATTCAGACAGGATGTGTTCCCTCTCACTCAGCCTTTTTATTCTGTTCAGGCCTTCAATTGATTGGATGAGGCCCATCCACATTAGGGAGGGCAATCTGCTTTACTTAGAATATGATTTAAATGTCAGTCTTATCCAGAAACATGCTCACAGACACACCCAAAATAATGTTTGGCCAAATGTCTGGGCACCCTGTGGCCCAGTGAAGTTGACTTATAAAATTAAATATCACAAACTGTGACCAAAAGAAAAGGATGTAGGCCTCACATAGACAAAACCAACAGTTGTCCACTGCCCATATGGCAGAATACAATGCAGCCATTAAAAAGCATATGTGGCTGTGTGTGTCTGGTGGATAAGCACTTTACTTTCATTTTCCACTCAGTTAAGTCTCATAACCCTGCAATGCAGGGCCTATCATATTTGTTTTTACAAATGGAGAAATGAAAGCACAAAATGTTTCATAGCTTACCCAAGGTTGTATAACCAAGCTGGCATTTGAACCTGATCTATCTGACTCGAGAGTTAATGCCTTGAACCACGATTAAAGTGCAAAATGCTGGGTGCCTAACAGGAAGTATAGTATGATCTCTCTGTGAAAAACCAGAGCCCCCTCCCCGTCCACATGTGTTTACTGATTATTTAAAGAAAATGACTTGAAACGATGTATAAGAAACCATTATTTTATTTATTGTCAGTGTATTTATTATTATTTATTTATTATTAGTTTGCTGTTGTTAGTTTACTTCTGGGCAGTGGGTTTATGAGGTTGGAGGGCAATAGGGATGGTGGGTTTGAGTGCTTTTCACTTCACACTCTTCTGTACTGTTTGGCATTTAGTCATTTCATATTGCACACATGATTGAAATCTCCGATTCCAGAGTCCGAGCTCCTAACGTCCAAACTGTATGCCTTCTCCCAATGTACACACAGGTGACCCTGGCAGGCTATGGCTTTGCCTTCCGCTATTCCCCAGGTGGCAGACATGTGGCCTACATGGAAGGTAGCAGGAGCCCACATGAAGGAGACCTCGAGTTCATTAGCATGGACCTGCACAAGGGATGCGGTAAGAGGCCACAGAAAGGGTTCGGGACCATGGAGACACGCTGCTTATACAGGGACAGCTCTAGGTTTTCACAGCTACGCACAGAGATAGCCAGACACTGGAGTCACTCTAAGGGAGCCATGATATGGATTCTGGACCATGGATGGCATCCCCAAGCATTAGGGAATTGTGGGTAGTTGTTCAGCACCAAGGACAGAGGGCAGTTGGGCACAGGGAAGCCCGGCAGGTCCAGAGGTTCAGATTTAGAATCTGGTGTAAACTTGGAACATGAGAGTTGCCCAAGAGTCATACAGGAGATGCTGTCGAAGAAACAATCCATATCTGGAACACAGGAGTGAAGTCTGGACAGACTCAGATGTCGGCAGGATCTCAGGAGTTGTCAGCTGAAGCCTGGGAAAGGAATGAGATTATCAAGGAAAGTGTACAGAGCAAAGAGAGAGCCCAGGCAGATTCCTTGAGGAGGTCTCAGCCCTTCTTTCCCAAATCACTTGGTATCATTTCCATCCATGTGCCTGCCTGCGTCCTCCCACCAGACTGAGCTCACCCAGGGAATAGATGGTGCCAGTGCCTCCAGATCAAGTGGTGGAAGGTCTGACACACACAACTCTCAGTGTTTGTTGAAAGCTTACACGAACTGTTGTCTAAGTTATGGCATTTAGGAAGTGTAAGAAAAACCCCAGTGATCTCCTTTTCTCCCTTTCCGAGGCTGTATTCAGTGCCCACCCTTGTAGGTTCCCTCATGCTCTGTCCTGTGTCCTCTGTAGCTCAGGTAATCCCACAATATAACCGTCTCTTTACATGACTGTGAAGGGCTGGGACCCAGCCAAACTCTTCTCTAGAATTTGAGAATGGGATGGGGCCTGCTGCACAGGGTTTGGAGGGCTTATTGAATGAATGAGTGCATAAATGAAAGACAAGTAAATGAGGGAGTGAGCTAGTGAAAGTAGGGATGAAGGGATAGCTGGCTGAGAGAATGAAAGAGAGTAGTTGAGAGAGTCATGAGAGTGAAAGTAGGCAAATGAAGAGTGAATGAACAGATGAGAGCCCATATGTTTGGGTGGTTGAGTATGAGTGCATGATTGAGTCAGTGAGAGAGAGAAAGGAAGGAGGTGGATGTATCAGTGAGTAGAGCATCCAGACTGAGCAGACTGAGTTGCCACCTCTTTCCCTTCCTCCCCAGGGCCCTCCCGCCGCAGTGACCTCCAGACCCTAGGTTACTGTTTGCTGAAGTGGCTTTATGGGACCCTGCCATGGACAAAGTGCCTTCTTAACACCGAGGATATCATGAAGCTGAAACAGAAGTGAGTCTAGGGGTCAGCAGAGTCAAGCACTGGCTCCAGCACCCCTGCAGGTGGGCCAGACTCTCAGAACCCAATGGGACAAAAAAGAAGGGGAGGTAGTGTCTGGCAGAGCCAAGGCCTCTGTAGTTCTCAGGCATGTGCTCTACCATCCATTCCAGCAGAGAAGAGCGTGGGCTCTGGAGCCATGCTGCCTGGAGTCAGACTCCGGCCCTACCACTGGAGGGTGTTGGGTGGGCAGCTTAACCTCCATAAGCCTCAGTGTCCTCGGTGAGATGGGATCTTATTAGCACCCACCGCAGGGGGTGTGGAAAGATTCAAGGGAGTCAAGTACACAGCACTCAGCACAGAGCCTGGCCTGTAGAAAATGCTTACCGTGCACAGGACACCATGACTCATTCATTCCTTCACAGGCATGTGGGCAACCTAAGAAGTTAGGTCTGGGCCCTGCCTCAGCATAGGGCTACACCAGCCATCGGTGTTACTTCCCTCCGTCACTCACCTCTGCATATAAAACCACCAGCTCCTGCTAGTTCTGGTTTAGACATTCAGCACCAAGGACAGCAGGGGCGGGGCGGGGGCTGGCACTGGGTGCAAAGGGAAGTGCTGGAGTGGAAAGTTCAGCACCAAGGACAGAAGATTACAGCGCAAAGGGGAGTGCTGTGGGTGTGGTTCAGCACCACTGACAGAGGGCACTTTGGCACAGAGAGAAGCATAGGCACTTTGCTCTTCAGTACCAAGGACAGTGGGCATCAGGACACTAGGAAGCCCTGCAGGTTAGCTAGAGGTTGGGAATCAAGATCTAGGATAGACTTGGGCAGATGATAGAGTCTAGGAGAGGTTGGCTATCTACGTCTGAGGTACAGGAATGAAGTCTAAACAAGATTCAAACCTCAGCGGTATCTCAGGAGTTCTCAACAGAAGCCCTGGGAAAGGATGAGATTTTCCAGGAAAGTGTACAGAGTGGGAAAAGGGAAAACTCCAGTGACCAACATTGTGTCCGTCGTACTTCTCAGTCCTTAGCATGCTGTCACTGGTTCACCTTGAGCCTCTCTCTCATTTTGCCCCTTTTTATATACCCCATCTTCTCTCATCCGTGGAAACCCACTCAAACATACTTAATATATTTTCTGCTGATATGTGTGCTTAAATGTATTTGTATCCTTAAACTTGCATAATGGTAGTGGTACTGTGTGTACTTGACTTGCTTAAATGGTATTCTTTGAATCTAATCTGTGTCTGACTTTTTTCACTCAACACTATGTTCTTCAACTTTAACCACATCGTTACATGTGCTACAAATTTTCTGCTCCTGAATACTGCTTTTAAATAAGTTTGTACAGCTATGTCTGTGTCCTTGAACAATATATGAGTGTATTTAATTTGCATAAATGGTACTCTGCTCTACATTTCATTGTTTCTTGCTTTCTTTCACTCAGTGCTGTATTTTTTAACTTTTAGCTACATTGCTAATTCACTGTCTCTGAATACTTCTAAATTTGTCTATTTATATGTATCTGTGCCCTTGAAATATATGTCGTGTTGTTGGGTATGTGTTTTATTGGCATAAGTGGTACCATGCCCTGAATCTCATCTTCAGGTTCCAGCTTAATCATCACACCCAGGAACCTCTTTCCTCACCCTCACTGCATCAGGTCTTCTGCTTGCACATGCTCAGAGGAAGGGATTTGCCCCTGTCACATTGGCCTGCTTATGATGACATGTTCAAGGCTAATGTTTATCGTACACTTGTCTGTGCCCAGCACTGCATCCAGTGCTTCCCTGCATCACCCTCAGAACAATTCTGAAATAAATGTTCTTATCATCTAAGGCTCAGAGAGCTTAGGCAATCAGCCCAGGTCACACAGCTACTAAGTAAGGACACTTACACTCAACACTCAGGCCATTCGACTGCAGAGAGGCCCTTTCATCTCAAAGCCAGTGTCTCCCAAGTGGATTGATGGCACTTGGACACAGCCTTCCTCTAACTGACAAATATGTATGGACCACCTACTATGCTCCAGGCTTTTTTCTAGGCCCTGGGATACAGGAATAACTAAAACACACATCCTTGCCCTCAGGGGAGACAGTAAAGAGATAAAGAGTGAAACACAGCATGTCAGAAGGCAAACTGGCAGGGCCATTAGGTCAGGAGCTCTGGGGATCTGCCAGTGGGATGGTGAGGATGTGGCTTTGCGCTGCTCTTTTAGATTTAATGGCCAGGGCAGGTCTCATGGCAGTAATGACGGGTAAATTGCCTCCAGAATGGGATTGAGTCAAGGAGGAGGTCTCACTTTGGTGCTGATATGCCACTAACATTTCTGCAGAAGGAGGAAAAGATAGAGAGAGGGAGGCCTTTGGCAGCCTCAATGTCAGAAGCCAGCCTCAGAACCCACCAGAACATGAGCCATTGTCCTGTTTCCTTGGAATTTATTTTTGCATTTATTTTCTAGTTTTCCACTTTTAAAATGAAGCCAAGTGAAAACAGCGACTCACAGAATTAGAAACACAGGCAGTAGGAACATACGGTCCGGTTGCTAAAGTGCTGAGTGTGACTGAAGTTCGTGACCTGCTCCTTTACTCGTTTCTGTTATGTTAGGGACAAGGCTGAGCTGCTCTTACAAGGAGACCCCAAAACACTGGCTCAAATGAGATACGTGTTTATTTTCCTCTTGCTAACAGCCCCAAGGTGGGAGACCAAGGGTGGTGGGTGCCTCGGTCCCCTTCAACATGCATATACCTTTCTTTGGGTGCAAGCTCTGTTGCCACTGTCTCCTATTGCTTCTAAAGGGCAGGACTGCAAATGATATGTGTCTCTTGGTTACGTGGCCACCATGAGCTCTAGTGGGGCTGGGAAATGTCTCCAGCCTGTGGCTGCTGACATTGAGATTTTGCCATTGAAGGGGAGAAGTGACAGGTAGCAGGTAGCAGTTCTTCCACAGTGCCACCTTGAGTCAAGTTTCTCTGAGGGCAGGAACCACGTCAGCTGTCTTCACCATGTTGTTCACAGCACAGTGCTTGGCATGTTGTGGGTGTTCATGAAATAGCTGTGGAGTGAATGGATAAGGAATGAATGTATGAGCCTTCATTCTCAGGCCTGGGCTTCTGTGTGGACACACAGATCAGGCAGACATGCCCCAGCCTTGGCAGAGTTCCCAGGTTTGGAGAAGGCACACAGGCAGGAAGCAGGCACTATATGTGAGGGTGGAAGCAGTGCCTGAGGCATTGTGAGAGCATAGGGGAGGCACGTGACCTGGCCTCTTGTGAGCCTTTACTCAAGACAAGCCTGACCTTGTCTGTAGAGAGCAGAGAAGTTACCATGGCAGGCAAGAGAGACACGACATTTATAGGCAGACAGGATAGCACATATGTGAACCCTTCATTCATTTATTTATTCAGAACCAGTTTTCTGAGGGCATCTGTGTGCCAGTCCCTGTGCTGGGAAATGCTGAGGACCCAGATGTGAATCAGCTGAAGGCACCTCTTGTCATTAGTGAAACCGCCTGCTGAGGCTCCCCTGGATTTGAATCCTCCCTCCTCCTATTTCCCCTAACTCCTAAGAATAGTCATAGTTCCCTTTTCACATCTCTCCCAACTTCCCCTTAACAAGAGATAATTAATGAGCATGAGATGCTTCACTAAGATGCTCTGTAATTGCCAAGTTGGTACAGAGTAAATAAAATAGGTCCTGTAATTATTTTAATGTTGATGATTTCAGTATGAGTAACAGTTCATTCCAGAACCCCAGATCCCAACCACGGCCACAGAGGGAGGGCCGGGCACGTGAAGATGCCCCACAGAGAGATGTGAGTGGCGATGTTGCTGTCATTCTGGACCCCCCCAGCTCAGGCTTGTCAGGTGACTCAAGGCAGTAACCAAAAGGACCACAAGGGGGCGATGTTGGCACATGCAGGTTTTCTGGAACCCTAACTTGTTCTCTAGACGATCTCTCACTGGTGTGCATGGCCTTTTTACATTCATTCAGCAAATATTTATTCATTTTCTTGTACATCCTAGTTCATGACAAAATGAATGACTAAAAGAAACATGAGAGACGGTGTGATGCCCCAAGACTTTCAGGTGTGCAAGGCCCCCAGCTGGAAAAGCATAAACATAAGTTGAATTCAGTCACTGCTCTTAAGACTGCCAGAGGCAGGGAGGTCCCCAGACATGACAGCGACAGCCTTTGGGGGAGTTGCTCGCGGAGTTTACAACGTCCTAAAGATGGCACAGCCCTTTCATGCCTTCACTCGCACTCTGTCATTCATTCACCATATACATCCTGAGGCTATGAGTAGAGAGGGGTTGGACCCAGCCCTTCCTCAACATGTATCTTGCCAGTTGCTGTATGGCTTCTGTGGACCTCTGCAGGGATGTACAGGTACTCAGGAGGATCAATTTCCTCCGCCTGGAGGGGAAGCTGGGAGACCAGCCCTCGAGCCATGTCCAGAAGGGAGAGCAGCCACCTTGCAGGTGTCAAGTTGGGGAAGGGCCATCCAGGGCAGAGATAACAGGATGTGCAGAGGCTGGGAGATGCGGGTCATCCTTGACCAGGTTGGGGGACTAGAAAAAGTGTAGTGTGACTGAGCATTAGATGGGAGGGAGGAAGTCAAGGAGACAAGGCCACGGGCTGGCAGCTTTGCATGCCAGGGGCTTTCCCCAAGGGTGCTGGGGAGCCCCAGCTGGGCCACGAGCAGAGAAAGGCAGGGGAAGCTCTGGGAGTAGGGACTCTCTGGGGCCATATGAGGGATACATGGGAAGCTGGGGAGGAGGCTGGGGTCCAGGGAGACAGCATGAGGCCTAAGCTGGGCCCAGAGCCATGGACGGAGGAGAGATGGGGCAGAGAGGGTTGGGGAGCAGGAGGGTGGGGCTTGGAGATTTCTGGGTTGTGGGGGAAGGAAAGGACAGTGCCCAGTGACTGGGTCGACGAGGGAGCCAGCCCAGTGATCCAGGCCAGTGGAGCTACAGTGGATTGGGACTCTGAGGGTGGAGCAAAGGAAGTAAACAAATTTACATTTTTCCTGAGTAGTCCAAGAGGGGTGTGTGTGTATGTGGTGTGTGTGTATTTATGTATATATACAAATATCTGTGTGTGGATAAGATAGTCTTAATTACTCACAGATTTCTTATTTGTGAATTTGTCCATTCACTAAAATGTATTTGCAACCCCAAAACCAATACTCGCGGTGCTTTGGTGGTCATTCTCAGACATGCAGAGTGGAATAAATTTTGAGTCACCCGGTGCCTGCGATCCCAGCTGACGCCGAACACGGCAGTCCTCTGCCTTCTTGGTTCAGCTCTCACACCGTAAACCAGTGTCCTTTTTGCGGTCCATCTAATGCCACATTTCCCACATTTTTGTGCTTTTTGTTGGTAATTTCTCTGTTTAAAGTGGCTCCAAGCATAGTGCTGAAGAGCTGTCTAGTGTCCCTCAGTGCAGGGAGGCTGTGATGTGGCTTATGGAGAAAAAGCGTGTTAGATGAGCTTCCTTCAGGCAGGACATGGGGTACTGTTGGCCATGAGTTCAATATGAATCGATCCATATTGTATTAAATACAGTGTCTTTAAACATAAACATACATAAAACAAGGTGATGTATTGATTAGTTGGCAAAATGTGACCAGAGGCTTGCAGGAACCTAATGTTATGTTTGCCCTAAAAGCAGGTTCAGAATTGGCTAATTCAGTGTCCAAGGTGACTCTATAGGGAATATCTACTGTGAATAACAAGAACCTGCTGTTCGTCTATGAGACATTCTGTTTAAAAGGTTGCTCTCCCTTCCCAAAAAGACCTTCCGCATATACCTCTGTCCTATAGGTTTCTTGACAGCCCGGAGACCCTCGTGGGACAGTGCAGTCGCTGGATGAATCCCTCAGGTATGTCCTGAATGGGAGGGACAAGCGGAGGCCGTGGCAGGACCGGGGGTTTTGCGTCCACATGGAATCGCTTCTCTTTACACCCCTTTGTTTTCTTGAGTTTTCCAAATTGCATGTGTATATGTGCTCATTGTAAAAAAACAAAAATCTTCCCCAAAATTTCAAAAGTGTTCCTGAACAAAAATAACAGTACACACACACACACACACACACACACACACACACACACACACACACACAACCACATACACATAATGTTGTTGTTTTTTAAGATGTTATTGGAGAATTGGGGGAGTGGAACAGCATTGGGGAATCGGGGAAGGGGAGCAGATAAGTTGCTGTCCTTTTTGTTCTTCAGTCTAGTTGTGGAAGACGTCACTTCACTGGCCCCTGTTGGTATTGTGATCATTGCACTCTTCCCAGGTGACACAGATTGGTTGCCCACCATTGGACAGCCACTCACAGCGGCTCTTGGCAGCTCACGCCGGCTGCCAGCCGCTCACACTGGCTGCCAGCCACTCACGGCAGCCCACTGCAGCAGGGGCTGCAGCCTATGCCGTCGCCGGTGACTTACGGCAGCCCACCTCCAGATCGAGCTGTTGTTCATTATCTTAGCTGTAAGAAGGCGCAGCGGCACTGGCCCTAATGTGGGATCTGAACCGGGTCCCTGCTGCTCAGAGCTGGCGTCCCAAGACAACCCTTAACCAATGCGCCACTCGGCCGGCCCACATAATGTTTTTTTAATGGAATCTTATTATGTGTATTGGTCTCCAACTTGATTTTTTTCACTTAAGAAGAGTATATCTTGGAGATGTTTTGTGTCGGTGTTTGTAGAATTTTGTCAGTATTTTTCTAAATTGTGGTAAAATACACATAATGTCAGTATTTTAAAACTGCAGTTGTGAGTCATTAGTCAGTCATGAAGTCAATTTAACGGGTCAAGAACAGGATTCTTAAAAATTTAAAAGAACACAAAAATATGAGTGCCTTGCAGGAGTTAAGGAAATGTGAGATGTTATTATAGTTGCAGTGATACATATTTATACTCGTATATATAGGTGGGTAACAGGTTTTAAGGTAAAATGTATTTCTAATTATGTCTGTCTTTTTAAATGCTTTAAAAACACTGGTCTATCTGGGTACTACAATCCATCATATACGATATAATCCATCATATGAATATATCTTAATTTATTTCACCAATTCTTTATTGATAAACATTTAGCTTATCTCTAACTTTCTGATATTATAAACCTCTTACTGCTTTTTTTTCCCCTGGGATTTGAATATTCACTTATAAAATAATTTCAATCAAATTGAAACATGTAACATAAGAAGTGAAACTTCCTGTCCCTATCTTGTCCCTTCCCCAGTCATACTTCCAAAGTAATTGCTGTTAATAGTATGATGAGTACATATCAGTTACCTATTGCCCTGTAACAAACCACTTCAAAGCATAGTGACCTAAAACATCAGCCATTTGATTTCTCTGAGATTCTTGGGGATAACGATATGGGCCGGGTTCATCCAGGCGGTTCATCGACTGGTCTTACCAGGGACATTCATGCCCATGCTGGCATCTGGCGGCTTGACTGGGGCAGCTGGTTCAAGTGGCTCCTGTCCCTCCTATTTGGCAATTGTCACTGGCTTGTTACTGCAAGGTCTCGGAGGCCTCAGCTGGCATGGCTCATCTCTGCTTTTTAAGGCCTCCCATCCTCCAACAGGCTAGACCAGGGGTCGGCAAACTGCAGCTCGCGAGCTACATGCAGCTCTTTGGGTGCGTACATGTGGCTCTGAAGTAAAATTGAAAATGAAAATAAAACTATCATAGTTTCATTTATAAAATTTTTAAAGGATATTATTCACATAATGGTG